CAGTTTCTAGTTGAGTCATATGCACATCGTATTGGCTGAATGGGATACCTATTTATATGTCTATATAGCTATAAATAGCAAACTATGGATAATTAGATAGATAGTGCCCCCGTAACCTTTCACATAATTAAATGTATTTACGGACAGATAATAAATCCAAGACATTCATCAGATTGTGAAAATTTGCTTGAAATGCACTCGAGAGAAGCTTTTAATGGGCTTGAGCAACACAATTTACTGTCAAAAACAGTCCACAAATGTCGAAATGACATTGCTTTGAAATTTACATAAAGAAATTGCTCAACAACAGTGAGGATAGAACGAACAGCCAATAAACAGTGTTCGGCTTCGAGGCAATCAGGCTACTGCATTTAAAGACCAATAGCCTCCCACAGAAAATGACAATTTTCTCAAGTGGACAACCGCCACCTACTGTAGAAGCTAACACTTGGGGAACATGAATGATTTTGAGATGCTCTCTAAAGGTTGGAAAAGATTAATCAGAGCTAAGCTACACATTACACTCCCCACATCAAAAGATTTGGGTGGTCTGCTCATATGAAAACCTGCTTATGGTGGGTTTAAAATTGCACAGGAGCCTACATTTAAAAACAAAACAAAACAAAGCAACAGGTGGCTCTCTACACACTCACCCTACATGGATTGGAGGGTGGTGGAGATTGCAGTGTGTGGAGTGAAGTTTAGCACACACTTCCACGCCTGTGTAAGATTGACATGTGATCAGAATGACCACACAGGAATTCTGTGGGTTGAGAATTTCGAAACGCCCCTGAAGAAAGGCAGGAACGGGGTGCCTTTCTCCTCTTGTTTATCTCTGCCTCTTCTGTCTCATTTTTTGTATCCCACCGTCAAGTCCCAAAAGCTCAGAACGGCTCACCAAAAAAAGGGGGGGGGAGGAGGAAAAAGAGAGATGAAAAATTCATATGGAAAACCAATTAAGTTAAAAACAAGAGCACAAGAGAATGCCAGCATGAAAGAGACTTAAAGCTAACAGGTGCAGGGAAATATTTAAAAGGTCTTCACCTGACATGTAAAGATATGTCAGTCAACACCAGGCAAGTCTCCCTGGGGAAAGAATTCTATAACCAGGATTTTGTCTCCAGTTAATTGTCCCTCCACCTCCATCCTGAACCCCTAACTAAAGCATTAAAGGAGAGGTTAAGCAGAGATAAACAACAATCGGGAGCCTTCTGCCTCCCTGTGTGTTTTCCTAGTATCTTCTCCAACCTGCTTTGACTCTGGGTCTCTCTCCCCACACACTCAGCTCCGGGGTTGCTTTAATATCTCATCCACTAGAGGCCGGCTTATACATGGCTACATCCCACATATTTTTAAAATCAGTTGGACGCTTATTGAAATTTTCCATTACCTTTAACGATAAAATAGAGGAAAATAATGACATCCCTTGAAATTCAGAAACACAAGTGCATGGGAAACGGTGCTGGGTTGTGAATACAGCAAACACTATTAGCTGGGCTATTCAGGCATTATACTTGCAGGAAAAGCAACACACCAAAGGAGCTATGCTGAGCGGCTGCAACCAGCTGCTGTCAAGACACCAGTGATTCAGCAGCAGTCAAGACTCAGAGTTTGAGGCTGCAGAGTCTGTATGTAGAGAGCCAGGCTGAAGTTCAGGGTTCTGAGCCTGCTGCAGGACACCAGGAGACCACTAAGCCTGAGACTGAAAACCAGGGCCATCTTTACTCGGGGGTACAAGGGGTGCAGGGCGCCTGGGCGCCGAATTCTGGAGGGCACAGGGCACCTGGCACCCTCCGCTGAAGCCGCCTAAGGGTATTGTATTGAGCTGCTATGCGGCAGCAGGGTCGGCAGCACCTTTGACATGACTGATCTCGCGCCGCCCGCCTGCTAATGGTGCTGCAGGGAGAGCTCTCTGGAAAGTCTCGCTGACCAAAGCCGGGAGATGATCACCTTCACATTGAGTAGTGCCTTGCAATGGGCACATATCAGCACACATACACACAGAGATAAGATGCATCCAATACTCTGTGGGTCTTAATGAGTTGTTTTCCCTTCTTCCCTCTGTGCTACATCTTGTGCTGGTCCTGGGGGCTAACTGAGAGATGAGGTCCGAGTCCAGTCCGAGGTCGATGGTGCGGTATGGAGGCTGTCCGTCAAAGCTGTCGCTGGGTCCAAGGCAGGGAGTCAGGTGGGATCAGGAACTCCGGCAGAAGAGCAGGACAGGGTGCAGGCAGGAACAGGCTAGCAACAACGTTGCTTCCGCAACCTGGGACTGGGGCTGACTGGCTTTTATCTGCCCCGAGGCATAGGGCGGCCCCGGTCCACAGGTGACTCGCCTCTGCTGGCCTGGAGGCGAGCACTCCTCCTGCAGGAATTTAGTTCCCTCCGCCTCTCTACCCTGAGCCACTGCCGCTCAGGAGAGGCTGGAGGGTTACTGGACTCAGAGGCAACCTTCTCTTCCCCTGACGGGGCTGTGAGTGGAGCACCTGCAGGCAATGGGTCCTCCATCACCTCAGGAGCCAGAGCAGACTCAGCTGGTGTCTGCACCTGAGGATCCAGCACAGGTGAGGACCCTTCAGGCTCAGGCCCCAGCCCTGGCTCAGCTGGTTCTGGAGGTGGGGACTCCTGTGCAGGCTGGGATTCTTCAGGTTCAGCCTCTGAGTCCGAATCCCAGGCCATCACACATCTTTACCTTTAGATTCTCTCGCTCCCATGATGAATAAAGTAAAAGAGAGAGACCCCTTTTAGTTTTCATTGCTTCTCCAGCCCTTCTTCTCAGCTCCATATTGGGATTAGTCCAAGAACATTGGTCAATGGTTTTAGTAATGCTTGACTTATCCTTCTATGCAGTACCCAACACATTGTTAGCATGCAATAAATCTCTAATAGCTGCCCCACTTGCCGGTGTAATGGAAGGAAGCAAAACTCTATTTAGTTAACCCTTTAGCCATACTAATCAATCAGGGGAGCAGGGGAGGACAGGTTCTGATTGGACAGAAAGTTTTTCCAGAAAGAAGATCCCACGTGTTTTGTCAGGATCTCGCTGGAAAGTAGTTCTGCTAGTGGCTGTGCTTCTTGGGGACAACATGGGGACTCTGCCTCTTCCACTTCCACTAACCTGGTGGAAAAGGTGCTGCTTTTGACCTTTAAAGCCCTTCACAGCCTAGGACCCTCGTACCTACAGGACCGCCTCTCCCGGTATGCCCCACGGAGAGCCTCAAGGTCCATAAACAGCGACACCCCAGAGGTCCTGGGTCCTAAGGAAGTCAGATTAGCCTCAACCAGAGCCAGGGCCTTCTCAACACTGGCTCCAGCCTGGTGGACTGCTCTGCCTCATGAGACCAGGGCCCTGCAGGATCTGATTTCTTTCCGCAGGGCCTGTAAGACAGAGTTGTTCCGCCTGGCCTTTGGCTTGGAGCCAATTTGATTCCCTCCCTCCCCCTCTTTCTTTTTTCTTTTTTCTTTTTCCTTTCTCCTCCTGTGATGAGGTTTCAATATTTTAATGTTGCATTTTAATCTTGTTTTTAAGTTGTATTCATTCAACTTGTTTTTATTATTGCTTGTTAGCCGCCCTGAGCCCGGCCTTGGCTGGGGAGGGCAGGGTATAAATAAAAATTATACGGTAAATATAAATATAACCAAGATAGCTGCTTCACCCTGCCCCATGGGCAGGCTGGCTCTCATCTCAGGGCTGCTCCCTTGCTTACCTGGCCAATAGTCCTCATCCCCTGATGTTACTCCCCACTGTGCACTAATTCTAAGGATCAGTGCAGGTACTCTGCACAGATGAAAGAGAGCTTAGGGCCTCAATTCACACTTTTCTTGCATTTTCCAAAACTGGGAAGAAATACTTTGCTGATTGTGCCCATGTCTGTCTGTATCACACATTATTTACCTGGTGGAGGATATATGGCAGAGGATCTTCAGCTGTGTAAGCATATGAAATGGTCAACTATGTTGGCATGTGGTTACCAAACTCTTAACATCTATGAAGACTGTGTCTCTGAAATTCCAGTGTCTGGAAGTCCTCCAAGCCTAAATGAAGTTTTCAGGTTAGAGCTGGGATGAGAAAGCTGTGTCTTTCCATATGATGCTGAACCTCAGCTCGCATCAACCCAAGCCTGCATGGCCAATGGTCAGGGATATTGGGAGTTGTTATCTGAAATATACTCGGAGTCAAGTGTGAATTTCATGCTCTTTATTCAGCTCGTAGTAGCAATGAATGAAACTTTCCCCAAAATGTCTAGCTATATATACATTATTTACACAATGGGCCCCGTGTGATTGGCTAATTCCGGGCTGCTCCTGTAGGCCAATCAGGTTGCAGATTCACTTCATCCAGGAGCCTGATTGGCTGCTCCTGCAGGCCAATCAGGTCGCTGATTCACTTCCACCTGGAGCTGGATTGGGTGGCTCCTGTGGACCAATCAGACTGCTGCATTCTGGGTCCTATTGTTCTAGGATTCAGCTCAGTACATAACATTATCCAACAACATATGGAGGGCTGCAGGTTCCCCATCCCTGGGCTACAGCATTCCACAATACAACATTTGAAGAATTTGCATTTTTCATAAGATTAGGTGTCGTTTTTTGGTAGACCTAAAGACAGGCAAAAGTACAGCAGTGGAATTGCAGAAGCATATTTGCCAATCAGGCCCATAGCATGCATATTTAAGATTTTAGCACCAGTACATTAAAGAAAACCCATTAGAATAATTGAGGGTATACATTAAACACAGGCCTCTTCCAAATCCCTACAGCCAGCGCATTGAAACGGTGACATGATGAGTTAACAGTCTGTCAATCTGGCACAGTTTCAAGTGGCGGCAGCTGAGGTGTGCTTTAAAATAGGGATTTTTTAATTGGATTCGAAATCAATTAAAACCCCATTAGAAACATAATTGTAGTAATACAAATCATAAAATAATCTCTTTTACAATAAACTATAAAACCGAGGAAGCTTGCATAATTAATACTATGTATTACATGGGCAGAACGGTACCTTTCGACACTCAAAACGTAGCGAGGAACCGCACCTTCCCTCTGCAGTGTGGTCCAAGACAATCATCAAATTGGAGAGGGCCATATGCAGACATTACATTTCTAAGCAATTTGGGAGGTTCCTGCATGAGAAAAACACAACATTAATTTCAACGGAGGCCAAAAGTGTGGAAGGCCAGAGGGTTCTCCACAAGGAGGCTTGGGGATTCAAGAAAATATTAATTCAGGTTGTTGAGAGTAATTCCTGCTCAGCAGGAACATCTGAGGAGTTTTGAGGGAACCAAAAAGTGAAATTTCTCAAAGTGCTTCCATGTATCCCTATGCAGCTGCTGCAAGATATCTTGTGGAACTGTTTAAGGAATTCTTTGTTCTTCTCTAACACTACAGACTGTAGGTATTGCTCATAAGGAAATAAAAAGTTTTCAAATAATACAATTTACTGCGTGACTCATCCACCCAGTAAAGAGAGAGTTTGTGCAACAAATATAGCCAAATCAGGACGTTTTTCTTAAGGTGAAATGTATAGGTTGATTCCTTCATAAATGAGAAATGCTTTTCAGAGGAGACAGTTCACACCTCTGTAGTAGTGATGAAAGCTTTATAATAATAATAATAATAATTTATTATTTGTAGCCAACCCATCTGGCTGGGTCTTTACCACGCAACAGCATTTAATTTATTGGGAAAACAAGGCAATAGTAAAATTCTCACCACTTCGCCAGGACAATGCAAACAAATATTTAAAGATTTGTAAAAGTGCATGCATGGTAAATAGTTGCATGCAATCACCCATAAGCAATTGCAAATCTTCATAAGCCTTTTTCAAATATAAATGATACATTTTTCCAAGAAATGTTTTGTGCTCCTCTTTAGAATCCTAAATTTTGGTTGGCATCCCCAAAACACCTTCTTTTGTGGGTGTTTTGAGAACAGGATTTTGAGTAAGATAGAAAACAGGCTTTGTTTCAATTAATTTGCACCAGGGTGTATCTGCCCTGGCCCATGCTGCAAAAGTATTATCAGAATTTGTTTTGGTCCGATGCTAAGAAATCTCTTTTAATGACCTCTGCCATTACTACTCCGTAGAACAACAACTGCAAAGGTTGCCTTGTGATTTATTTGAATCAGTAAGTCTGCCGTTTAGAGACATACCCCAAGAAGACAGAGGAGGAAGAAAAACAGAGGCACTATGGCTATGTAACTGGGGTTGAATCCACACTACTCCTTTAGAGCTCCTGAGGCATTGCTTCTCTATAATTAGCTAGAAGTGGAATTAAAATAGTGATTCAGCATGAGTGCAACTATAGCAGTAAACTAATTAACAGTGCCCTTTAAAAGGTAGAGGTACCCGTGACCGTTAGATCCAGTTGCGGGCGACTCTGGGGTTGCACGCTCATCTCACTCTATAGGCCAAGGAAGCTGGCGTTTGTCCACAGACAGCTTCCGGGTCATGTGGCCAGCATGACTAAGCTTCTGGTGAACTTTCCTGCCAGAGCGGTACCTATTTATCTACGTGCACTTTGACATGCTTTCAAACTGCTAGGTGGGCAGAAGCTGGGGCCGAACAACGGGAGCTTACCCCGTCACGGGGATTCGAACCGCCAACCTTCTGATCGGCAAGCCCTAGGCTATGTGTGAGCCAGTGTGGTGTAGTGGTTAAGACCGGTAATCTTGTAATCTGGTGAACCGGGTTCATGTCTCCGCTCGTCCACATGCAGCTGCTGGGTGACCTTGGGCTAGTCACACTTCTTTGAAGTCTCTCAGCCCAACTCACCTCAGAGAGTGTTTGTTGTGGGGGAGGAAGGGAAAGGAGATGGTTAGCCGCTTTGAGACTCCTTAGGGTAGTGATAAAGTGGGGTATCAAATCCAAACTCCTCCTCCTCCTCCTCCTCCTCCTTCTTCTGTGGTTTAGACCACAGCACCACCCATGTCCCCTAACAGTGCCCTTTACTATGGCCCAAACCACTGTGTAAAGTTTACTTACTTGTGATCAGCAAAGACGTTGAGCAATGTTATTTGAAAGCTTCCCCCTTTTAGGTTGAGCCCATTTTATTGCTTCCTGATGAGCACACCTGAGACTGCGGTGAATAGCCCATAGTGCAAAGCCCTTCACTAATTGTCCCGATGTCTGTTTCTGCAGGTGGGTTACCTAAGTTACTGGTTTCCTCTCCTTTGTTTTCTTTTTATAGCAAAATAGTGCTAGTTCACTCTTAAAATAAAAAAGAGGAAATCCGTAATTAGAGTCCCCCACAGTGCCGGATGTACATATAAGCTAAACAAGCTATAGCTTAGCACCCCACTCTCTTGGGCCCCCCCAAAAAAATTAAAGGAAAAAACCTGGATGTACATTTTTAAAATATAAGATAAAAAACAAACTATTACTATTTTGTTGTTGTTGTTTAGTCGTTTAGTCGTGTCCGACTCTTTGTGACCCCATGGACCAGAGCACGCCAGCCACTCCTGTCTTCCACTGCCTCCCGCAGTTTAGTCAAACTCATGCTGGTAGCTTCGCGAACACTATCCAACCATCTCGTCCTCTGTCGTCCCCTTCTCCTTGTGCCCTCCATCTTTCCCAACATCAGGGTCTTTTCCAGGGAGTCTTCTCTTCTCATGAGGTGGCCAAAGTACTGGAGTCTCAGCTTCAGGATCTGTCCTTCCAGTGAGCACTCAGGGCTGATTTCCTTCAGAATGGAGAGGTTTGATCTTCCTGCAGTCCATGAGACTCTCAAGAGTCTCCTCCAGCACCATAATTCAAAAGCATCAATTCTTTGGCGATACTTCTTCTTAATTGTATTTCAGTTCAACAATTACTTTGATAAAATAAACATTTTGTTATGTGCAAATGGCTTTAGATACCTATTAGGTCCATAAATTACCATATAGCATATATTTAACACAAAAAACAGCGACAATTTGTTTTTAACAAAGGACAGCTGGACATATAAAGGGCCCCATCACCTTCAGTAGCTTAGGGCCTCATCAAACCTGGTCCTCCATCAAAGAAGTCAGAAACAAACAGTGGGGTATGTAAGATAGACAATTCTGGCTGTTAATAGGTTCACTATGCTTGCTTCCCAAACCATGCCCATCAGGAAGCAATAGCAACTGGCCCAATTTGCCAATGGGAAGTGTTTGTTTAAAGGCACTGGTGTCCTTAGGTAAAGGTCAATGGCTCTTTGTATGTCTACACTAGACAGGCTGGTGCTACAAATGCATTTTACCAGCAAAAACCTAATGATCACTCATAAGACAACAATGTCATCTGAATGACTAGTAAAAGAAAGGGAGGGAGTGTGAACAAAGGATTGTAATTCCAGCCCAAAGGGCTACATTTGGAAGCAACTTGGATCTCAGCTTACAAACCGGGATCAAAAGGCAGGGCCTGGGACTGAAATGGTTAGTGATTTCTGCTCAATGCTACTGTGGGGCGTTTGAGTGAATCTTAACTTGCTTTAGCTAGAATTCTAGTCTAATTTTCCTGATATTTCCACTACCACTCATGTTTAATGTCACATTTTTCTTTATGGCAATGTGTTGTTAGAAACATTCATTTCAAGCAAGGCATCCTTTTCCAATATATTCCTTTTTTTTGCCAATGATACTTGAAATAAGTGTCCCTGTAAAGATTAAGTGCATAATTTAATTGTCCTTGTATCTGATGGAGAAAAAAATGATTCCCCACAGCAGCCTATTGACTCCTTCAACCTTGCCTCTTGAAACCTTCCTGAATGCAGGAGCTGATACTGCAGGTTTTGTATTTATAATGATTAATTAATTCTGTGCTAAGCAATGTTCCTGACTGCACGAACAAAATCCACTTTAGAAAACATAAATGACAGCCTGCCTAAAATAATTAACACCAGCGCTGATAGAATTGGGAATGTTTCCTCTCTCCGCTCTATGCTGGTGTGTTTTGAGAGACCGTAATTACAAAATATTTCTTACAAGCAAAAATGATGGCATTAAAGAAGAAGCATGATTCCTATAAAGAATATATGTTACAGGCGCAAAGGATCAAAGAGAGAAATGCTGGCTTAAAACGGAGATAGAACACAAGGATGTCTAGTAATTGACTGAAAAGGTTTTCTTTTCTTAGCAAGACAAACATCCCTGTGCTATTCATCTCCTTGGAACTGGAGTTCTCATATTTGGTCTGCAAACAAAATCAAGTTCCAAGCATCAAAGCTGCTCTTGAACCAGCCTTTGGATGAAGATACAGTGGTACCTCGGGTTATGAACTTAATTCGTTCCGGAGGTTCGTTCTTAACCTGAAACTGTTCTTAACCTGAGGCTAATGGGGCCTCCTGCTGCCACTGCGCCGCCTGCACATGATTTCCATTCTCATCCTGGGGCAAAGTTCTCAACCCGAGGTACTACTTCTGGGTTAGCGGAGTTTGTAACCCAAAGTGTTTGTAACCTGAGGCGTTTGTAACCCGAGGTACCACTGTACATCAAAAGACTCATCCAACCAGCTTATTGGGGCTCAGTTGAGTACAGTGGTACCTCAGGTTAAGAACTTAATTCATTCCGGAGGTCTGTTCTTAACCTGAAACTGTTCTTAACCTGAAGTACCACTTTAGCTAATGTTTCTGTGTTCACATACCTATTTTCACACAGGATTGTGTACCAAACGCCTCCACTGAGGGTTACAACAGAAACTCCAAATAGTAATTTCAAGTAGTTGTGGTGTTGTTTTGCTGTTTTTGTTGTTTTTGCTTTCTCCAGGATCCATCCCTCTGGGATCTACTCTGTGGTGATTCCACATACGCTTTGCATGTTTTGAACTTGGCAGTAGCTCCATGCCTCCAGTATTTGTGTGCGGGCTATATCAACATGGTCCACTGGCTGAAAGATATGTTTATGGAACAGTCCTTAGTTAATTCAAGGAATATTATCCTAGTCTGCAATCACCTAAAAATAGACCCCACTGAACACAGTAGGACTTACTTCTGAGGAAACTTTCTGAGGAAAGTGTAAGATCAGGCTGCACATCTTCAATACCCCCCAACATTTCCCTGGTGAAAATAGAGATGTCCTAAGGATAAGTGGGGACGCGGGTGGAGCTGTGGGTTAAACCATAGAGCCTAGGACTTGCCGATCAGAAGGTCGGCAGTTCGAATCCCCGTGACGGGGTGAGCTCCCGGTCCTGGGTCCCTGCTCCTGCCAACCTAGCAGTTTGAAAGCACGTCAAAGTGCAAGTAGATAAATAGGAACCACTCCGGCGGGAAGGTAAACGGTGTTTCCATGCACTGCTCTGGTTCGCCAGAAGCGGGTTAGTCATGCTGGCCACATGACCCGGATGCTGTACGCCGGCTTCCTCGGCCAATAAAGCGAGATGAACACCGCAACCCCAGAGTCGGCCACGACTGGACCTAATGGTCAGGGGTCCCTTTACCTTTAAGGAAAAGTGGGACATACCGGGATCAAGTCTGCATCTTCCCAAGTGCCTAGCTACTTTCTGAGACGAAGGATGACATTATGTAGAGCATCTGACCTTAACTGTCTACACTCTACGGGAATACATGTAACTCCTGACCATTTACTCGAGTGATAAGTCCTGGTGAAAAGTTTTAAGGCACAACTCATGCCGCTTCCTGCACTGGAAATGGGTGCATGAATGAGCCCTCAGTTCAGCTGAGGAAAGGAAAAGAATCTAGTCTAGAAGAAACTGATGCCTCCCTAACTTCTCATGGAGAGAACGACTTCAGAAGAATGTAGCCCTTATTCAAGTAGATCAGGCATGTCCAACAAGTAGATCGCAACCTACCGGTAGATCGTGGGGGTTTTCCAGGCAGATTGCGGTATGGAGTGACGGCCTTTGGCCAACCCTCCCCTAAAAAAAGTTCAACAACTCCAGGCAATGACAATGGGTAGATCAAAGCTGGTCTTTTTATACTGTGAGTAGATCGCAGTCTCTTGGGAGTTGGACGTGCCTGAATTAGATCAATACTATCTAATCTCATTAGTCCTTGTAAATAAGGATGAAAAGATGCCATGTTTGCCCCACAACAATGGAATTGAAAAGCACTACAGGTGTTCCAGCGACACAGTCCATTAACGGATCATAGAATCACAGAACTGTAGATTCTGACTCCAAGAGGCATCTAGTCCAACTCCCTGAAATGCCTGTTATGTTGAACTGAAGTGCAGAGGGCTATTTTGTGTGGGTTTTCCTACCTCAAATAAAAAGGGCGGGGAGGGGATCTTGAGAATGAACATAAATAGTACATGCGTTTTATTGCACATTATTTTATGTTCATGACGGGGTGTGTGTATACACCATCACTTCTGCTAGGGAAAGCACATCATAGACAGTGTGTTGGGTACTGATCCTTGCAGTGTAATCCTATATTGCAGAAAGCTCCACTAGAAAATGTCCTGTTGAGTTCCATGGAACTTACTCTCAGGTAAAGGTATACAGCAGCATGCTTCTCCTTTTCGTGAATTCTCAAATGTACCAGAATGCATCCTGTAATCAGAGACATAATACAATAATTCAGTCTTGCAGTTTGACAGGTCCACCCACTATGTCTCCAGATCTCAGAAAACATCCTTCCAGTTTGTTTAGAAACATTATATATTCATTTTAAGGCCAGGCAGATGATCCTTTCCCTGCTTTCCAAATGGCAGTACCTGTCTGTGGATCAGTAAAAAGAAAAGAAAAAAAGAATGCACTCATTTAGTGTTTAAATGCTCAGATGACCCAACTCATGCAATATAAATAAATGTGACAAGAGCATAGAATGTGAATGTTGAATTTTCCCATGAATATCTAAGCAGATTATACAAAATTACACTACAAGTAGATGCTGACAGCTGGAGAACACGCAACACAGAGAAGCTGTCAGACCATGTCTCTATAAAACATTTCCTTTTGTGTATAAAATTATTTGATACTGTCACCACAGTTCCCTCAGTCGGAATAACCATGGTCTAGTTTACTCTGATATTCAGCATTGTGCAAACCAACACAGAGCGTGACTTATCCGAATTCTGTGAATTCTTCATTAAATGTGACACATTCCCCAACTACAAACAGCAAGTTCTGCAATTAAAGTACACTACAAGTGGGGCCACTAATAAAGTGTTGCAGATTTACACCCACCACCTAACAGGAGAACTCCTGCACAACTTGAGACCAGGTTACCTGAAAGACCACCAGCCACTGTATAGACCTGTAGGATATCTTAGAGCATCCAAATACTTCAAATGAAGCTGTATCATGGAGTAGCATCACTCTGGGCATTCTTGGAAAACAAAAATGGAAGCTGCAAGCACAAGAGGTGTGTTGAGGAGCACTGGCAAGTTTTGCTCCCATTCCTGAAATCTGTACCTATGCCCCAAAACGTGGAAGAGAACAAAGGCCATTTCTTGCACGCATGCAGACAATTCAACACCTCCTTCCAGCATTAGCTGAACATTCTCCCACAGATAAAACTCCCTCAACTTTTTTTTTTTAAAGTTTTACTGCAGGAAAAGTTCTACCTAGCCTCCCTGACACAATAGTTTCCTATGTGTGTATAGTTTGTGGGGCAGCATTCTGACAATACCCAAAGTAGCCTGTAGTAGTATACTGGAAGAAGCAAAGATCACCAGTATTAAAGCAATGATTCTTCAACATCAACTTTGTTGGACTGGTCATGTTGTGCAGATGCCTGATAATCGTCTACCAAAGCAACTACACTATTCTGAACTTAAAAATTGAAAGCGTAATGCTGGTGGTCAACAAAAGAGGTTTAAAGACTGCCTCAAGGCAAATCTTTAAAAATGTAGTATAAACACCAACAATTGGGAAACACTGGTCTGTGAGCTCTCCAGTTGGAGAACAGCCTTTACCAAAGGTGTCATGGGCTTTGAAGACACTCGAACTCAGGACGCAAGGGAGAAACGTGCTAGGAGGAAGGCACGCTTGGCAAATCCACACCGTGATCAACTCCCGACCGGAAACCAATGTCCCCACTGTGGAAGGACGTGCGGATCCAGAATTGGCCTCCACAGTCACTTACAGACTCACTGTTAAAACCGTGTTTATGGAAGACAATCTTATTCGGCTACGAGTGATCGCCAAAGAAAGAATTAAGTAGTATAATCTAGGGAAAGCATTTCCTCAATACAGTGCTGAAAAGTTCTGCTTCTTTTCCACATAAGGGTAAAAAGATAAAGGTAAAGGACCCCGGGACAGTTGATTTTGACTATGGGGTGCAGTACTCATTTCTGCTTTTCAGGCCGAGGGAGCTGGCATTTGTCCACAGACCACTTTTCCTCTCCAGGTCATGTGGCCAGCATGACTAAACTGCTTCTGGGGCACAGAAACGCCATTTGCCTTCCTGTCACCACGGTACCTATTTATCTACTCACAGTGGAATGCTTTCAAAATGCTAGGTTGGCAGGGGCTGGGACAGAGCAACGGGAGCTCGCTCCATCACTGCCAACCTTCCAACTGGCAAGCCCCAGAGGCTCGGTGGTTTAGACCACAGCACCTTCCCACATCCAGTGACATAGGCATGGTCAAGAAGGGTGAATACTGTGAATAGCCTGTGCTTGTGAGGAACTGCTGATGAGGTTAGCAAGCGAGAGCTTCATGGTGTCTTCTGCTCTAATGAGACCAAAATTTGGGCCCCTCACTGAGAAAGTTTTGGGAGTTCCATATGTGTCAGGAATTGGACTCAAGGGGACGAGAGGGAAGAGGAATGGTGGAGATCACACCCACAACCACACACACACACCGTTCTACTGACACTGCAGGAGAAGAGTAATGCAGCATTGATTTCCAGCAGGGGTTTGAGGAGTTTGAGAAAGGTCACAGCTCAGAGACAGACGAACAATGGAGTTGGTAAGTGTTAGAAGAACGGGGAGAGGGAACAGAGGCAGGGCAACCAGCTGACACGTTGTCACTGGAGGGTATTTCTGACCCCCCTTCTCCCAGAACTCGGCATTCGTTAAGAGTACAGGAACAAAGGAGTTAGAGACAATTGGCCACATACGGCCACCGTAAGGGGAGATGCTGTTGCTAAGAAGGAGGAAGGAGGAGCCCAGCTGGAGCAACGCCATTATCAGGGCTTGCTGTGTCTCTCACTATTATGAATGAATAAACTCATTAAAAAGGACTCTACCTTGTTTTCTAGGCTCTTGCGGCAACCGGGGGAGATATAGCTTTCCCGAAGCCTTGACAATATGTGTGCTGATTCTACCTCTCCCAAAGTTGCTTATTGTGATGGCCTGGGATTTGGACTCGGAGGCTGAACCTGAGGAATCTCAGCCTCCACAGGAGTCCCCGCCTCCAGAACCAGCTGAGCCGGGGCTGGGGCCTGAGCCTGAAGGGTCCTCGCCTGTGCTGGATCCTCAGGTGCAGGCATCAGCTGAGTCTGCTCTGGCTCCTGAGGTGATGGAGGACCCATTGCCTGCAGGTGCTCCACTCTCAGCCCCGTCAGGGGAAGCTGAGGCTGCCTCTGGGTCCGGTAACCCTCCAGCCTCTCCTGAGCTGCAGAGGCTCAGGGCAGAGAGACGGAGGGAACTAAGTTCCTGCAGGAGAAGTGCTTGCCTTCAGGCCAGCAGAGGCGAGGCACCTGTGGACTGGGGCCGCCCTATGCCTCGGGGCTGATAAAAGCCAGCCAGCCCCAGTCCCAGGTTGCGGGAGCAACATTCTTGGTAGCCTGTTCCTGCCTGCCCCCTGTTCTGCTCTTCTGCCAGAGTTCCTGACCTCCCCTGACTCCCTGCCTTGGACCCCGCTTCAGCTTTGATGGACAGCCTCCATACCGCACCCTTGACCTCGGACTGGACTCGGACCTCGTCTCTCAGTTAGCCCTCGGGATCAGCACACTTGTTTTCTTTCTGATGAGGCTTATTATTATTATTATTATTAATTTTGGTTGAGTTTTAACTGGGGGGGGGGTTAACTGTGTGTGCATATTTCCTGAGAGTTGATTTATGCACAGAGGGCCATAGAACTTTTAGTATATGTATAAACAAAGAAATGTATGCAAACTGAGACCATGTTGGCCTGATACACACCTAACCTATTCAGCACCAATCTCAGCATCAAGCTAAATGTGCAGCTGCTGCCACAAATGGTGGACACCTGTGTAGTTCTCCCTTCTGTAATCTATAGTAGAATGCACCTGTGCCCTGACATCACAATTTCAATAGATCCTTTCTCCCTGCCGGGACAGCCACTGAGGGTGAATGAGTATCAGCAGAATGAATGGCATACGTAGGTTCTGCTAAATATCACAAAGACGTGGTTGCCATATTTGATGGTGTCACCTGTTTATTATAGTTTTTCTAACACCGAGGGTGGCTCACAACTACAGCCTCTCACTATGGCCACAGTTCCACGCACAACCCCATCATTTAGTGGATCTTGAGCATGAGCCTTCCTCGTGAGAAGTACTGTTGGAGCATGGCACAGCTATGTCATTAATGGATCCTGGTGAAGGTGGTCGTTTTGCATCCTCTTCATTCCCTAATAAGGGGACAATTAAGATGAAATTGATCAGCTAACTTTTGTAGAGTCCCTAATGCCTGCAGATAACAAATAGCATCACTCACAGACCTTAAATGGGATGTTTAAGAGCAGCATAACTCAGCTGGATTGCAGCTGATTTTTTTTAAAAAAAGGTAATTAACTTTTGCATCCAAAATAAACTTGATTGTTTTCACATCTTGGAAATAAAGCACAATGGGAAGGATGTCCCTAATTCTCTAGCAATAATCGGGTTCCCTTCAGCCATGTCACAGATACATGCAGGGACTATATTATCAGCTATTAAAGAGAGAAAGAGAAAGAGAGAGTGCAAAGCCCTCTTGAAGCAGCAGTAAGTCTGGGAAGAAAATGGTTACAATGATCTATGGAGTTCAAGACAGATGCCAGCTAAATCACTTTTGGAGGAAGCCAGACAGGCAAAATGAAACTGTTTGAAAGCATCAATTGAAGTGAGTCTACAGCCGGTTATCAAATAACTGTTGTTATAATTTGGTCAGGTAATCTGCTCCCGTTCAATCATATATTTTCATTTGTACAAGACGCGTAGACAAGGTACTGTTCAACTGAACGAAGAAAGTCACAATCTCATTTGTCATTCTCTCCACGCCCTTGTTTTTGCCCATCCTCAGTCCATTTCCCTGCTGCTGACACTCAAACAGACTTCTAATGCTCAAGGAAGGCTATCAAGTTGCAGTTGAAGCAGGGACGCCCACTCTAGAGGGCCGAGGTGTCTTCAGTCCCCCACAAAAATATTCTTTGGAAGGGGGGCAGCCCCTCTCAATGTGGGGGGATGGGAAAGGCTGACAGCAGAGCTGAGCATGGTGGAGTTTCAGTGGCCAGCTCCTCCTGAGCACAAGAAAGGAGGAGCAGCCAGTCATTGAAGCCGTGCCATGGTGGACTTCATGCTCAGCCTTCTCCTGATGATACAACATTGCATGTGTGTGGTTCCATTATTATCAATGTCATTATTATTATTAGTAGTAGTAGTAGTAGTAGTAGTAGTATAAGGTAAAGGGACCCCTGACCATTAGGTCCAGGGGTTGCGGACCTCTGGGGTTGCGGCGTTCATCTCGCTTTATTGGCCGAGGAAGCTGGCATACAGCACGACTAAGCCGCTTCTGGGGAACCAGAGCAGCGCACGGAAACGCCGTTTACC